GTGTTTAGGGGCTTCTTTTCTGCTGCTGGGTCAAATTAGCTCTGACTTAAAGTTCAGAGGACATTTTAGCAGTGTTTCATTTAATTTTCCAGACATTTAGATGCAGAAACATTATTATCTCCACTGTACAGATGAGAAGAAGTGTGAAGTCATTTATAGTTTGGGGGTCACGTTCTCGCTCCAGTTGTTGTTACTTCTTGTTGTATTTGTGGCACGTCAAGTCGGAACCAACCCAGAGCTGACCCTCCAGTGGGTTTCCAGAGACAGTAAGTCACGTAGGAGGAGAGTGTCTGTTATTTTTCCCTGCAGTAGCTGGTAGATTCAAACCATATGCCTTTGGGATTGCAACACAGCTTCTTACCACTTGGCCTCCAGATCACCCTTGTTGTTAGCCCCCATCAAGTGAGCTGCCTCATAGAGTGGATGTATACAACCTGATCCTGTTGCATCCTCACATCTCATCTGTTTTGCTTAACCTAGTTGTTGTGCAGACACTGTGTTAACTCATTTTATTCAGGGGTTGGAATTTCTTTCTTTTTTTTTTTTTTTTTTGCTATCTACTTTACAAAACATGATGTCCTTATCCAAGCACTGACCCTTCCTGATAACATGATCAAAACATATGACACAAAGTCTTGCCACCCTCACACCTAAGGAGCATTCGGGCAGTACATCCTCCAAGACAAATATTAGTTTGGTCTTTTGGCAGTCTGTGGAACCTTCAGTATTCTTTTCCAATCTCACAATTCAAATGAATCCATTCCTCTTCTGTCTGCCTTATTTATTGTCCAACTTTCACATGCCTGTGAGGCAACTGGAAATACCATGTTAGTCCTTGAAGTAACTTGTGTGCTTTTTTAGCATTTTTAAAGAGGGTCCAATTGGTATTTGATGTTGGACAAAGTTCGCAACCATCACTCTTCAAGTGCTGTCATCGGTAGAGTGAGGCTGACACTAATGCCTACCTTCTGAGACTGTTTGGAGAACTAAATGAGTTAAAGAGCTTTAGACAGCACAGTGACACCTATTAAGTACTTAAATGCTGTGTCTAGGTTAGCTGAATTCTCCCTCGTGTATGTTCTCTTCAGGAGTTCTTCAGACTTTGTGTCAGGTAATCTTTCTCGCTTAAATTACAGGTTATTTTATACTACAGTTTAGTACTTCAGAAAGTTCTGAAAGTAAAAATTTTCTTAATCATTCATGGCAAGATCTCAAGTGATTTAGACTCACTTATTGGCAAATCTGACCGGAACTAACATGAAGCTATTGGTAGTATATGTTTTCTATAGTTAATATGACTATGCTTCTATTTTTTTTTTTTTTTTAGGAAATCCTAATGCTTCATTATGTAAGATGCCCCAAGTTCTGGTTGGGAGGGATTTTGTGATGTAGTAAGCATACTTTTAAAACTTTTTTAAAATTCTCAGTTCTGAAATGAATCTTTTTCTACAGTTTAGGCTACCAAATGACAGATTTATGTGAGTAGGTATTGATACTAAGGCTTCAAACCAGTTCATTCCAGTTCAATCTCCTGCTGAGAATTTGCATTTCTACCCCAGGTAAACTGAACCAGAATCTACATTAATAAGATCCCCAGGTGATTCTCACATATACATAAGATGCTCCTGTATATGAGAATCACCAGGGATCTTATTAACTTGTTCATTCTGATTCAGTATAACTGGGGTGGAAATGCAAATTCTCAGCAATGGGGGATTGAACTAGAATGATCAGGTTGGAATCCCTGTTTGGTATGACTGTCTTCCTCTTCAGGCTGTAAAATTTTTGACCCAAGTCTTATTCATGTGGAATCCAAGTTCCTGGCACATAATAGGCATTCAGTAAATGTTTGGTGAATGAATAAACTCTGCCAAAAACTTTGCACTTTGGTGAAAAGAAACAGACTTGAAAGTGGAACCTTATTTATTTTTTGGAACACAAATAAAACCTACTGCCTTCATTTCACAAGAGATTGAATTGTTTTACTTCTGGGGTATTTAAACATGATTAATATAATGAGTAATTTGGTGATGAAATCTAAAAAAAAAGTTCTAAACCATGCTATAATTTCACCAGCCATCAGCCATGTCTTGTTTCTTTTGACCATTTATTCCCTGGAGCTTTGATTTTTTGGGGGGGTAACTTATAGAGAAAGAACACCACGTGGGGATATCTATACCTGGAATATTTGAAGTGGACTGGGGTGGAGTGTCTGTTTCCTCTGAAAATGACAGTAAAAACTTCAAGTACCTAATTAACTATTGGGTTTTTCTTTTGTAAATAATATATGTTGATATTGATGTAATGTGCTGTCTAGTTGGCCCAACTCATAACTGACCCTCTAGTGGGTTTTCATGGGTTGTAAATTGCATAGGAGGAGATTGCCCATTTTTCCCCTGCAGAGCAGCTGATTGGATTTGAACTACATGCCTGCCTTTATTTTTATTTTTATTTTTTTTACATGCCTGCCTTTAAGTTGGCCACGCAACAACTTACCAGTGAGCCACCAGAGCTCCCTAAATAAACGATAGGAATTAGAGGTCTATGTTTTAAAAAGAAAAGTCCAATATTAGTAGTATGTTGATATGTTCCCTAGCAGCAGATATGACTCATAACTGCCCCTCTAGTGGATTGGATTATGAGGGGCTATAAATCGCACGAGATGATATTTTCCATTTTATTCCTTTGGAGCAGCAGTGGATTCAAACTGTGTGCCTTTGGATTGGCAGCATAGCTCCTTACGGCTAGGCCACCAGAGCTCCCTAGTAGTATGATAATGTTATGTTGTTAAGTGCCTTTGAGTGGAGAGTCCTCAGTGCTTGGGTATGTAATAGCAAACTTAAAATCACTTTTGACAATTAGAGCTCTTACTTTACCTTTCTATTTTATGGATATGGAAAAATACAGCAAAAGTAATTTATGCATACAATTTTTTTATTAATTTCAGTGAAAATTTACAGAGACTTTGGATTTCCATTCACTCATTGTTATGCATACAATTTTTAAAGGACAATTTGAAACAGTCTTTCGTGTCCTCTATGAGCTTGCATGAACAGTGTGGAAATTAGTACTTATGAATACTTGTATTTTGTTGTTTCATGTCGTTCACCAACACAGCAGTATGATTGTGCGGTCTACATAAAGCCTTACTTTACTAAAACTTGTGTGGACATTTTAAAAAATAGACTGAGAAGGCCATTTGAATTATACAACTGTATTTTTTCCCCTTCATTTTATTTAACAAATTGGCTTGGATACAATGGTTCATTGGTATGTTTTGATATTTGTAACTGGTACAGCTGAGCTTTTAAAAAATAACTGATAGGCTGTTTTCTGCTAAACTTAACAATGCTGTCACTATATAGTATGTAAAATGTGCTAAATGAATCGCGTATTCTTGTTGAGAAAGAAGTTATAGTAATTGAAACTAAGAGCACTGTACTTATAGAAAATTTGTTTCTGTTAGATTATCAGTTTAAAATGGCTTTAGTTGGTATCTTAAGGGCTAGCTCAGAAATCACTTGTAAAAATAAGCTCAGATGTGGCCTTGAGCAAAATCACCATTGGTAAAATTCTGTTAAAATTATTCGATGGTTTACTGCTTTTATTACTTTTTGACAGAAGGATAGTTAAAGAAGGTAGGGAGGATGCCTATATCCTTATTTGTTTTCTGTTGTCATCTTTGTAGGGAGCTCTAGTGGCCTAAGGGCAACAGTGGTGGCCTAACGGAGCTGCGCTGCCAACCCAAAGGCACATAATTCGAATCCATCAGTTATTCCATGGGAGAAAAGTGGACAGTCTTTTCCTGTGTGATTTACTTCTGAAAACCCACTGGAGGATCTGTTACGAGTTGGTTCCAATTCGGTGATACTTAACACCACCTAATAGTCAAATGGGTAAGGAGTTCTGTTGTCAACCCGAAGGCAGGCACACCATTCAAATCCACCATCAGCTCTGCAGGAGAAAGATGGGCGTTCTCCTTCTGTGCATTTTACAGCCTCTGAAAACCCACTGGAGGGTATTTGAGCTATATGACTCGGTGGCAATGAGTTTGGAGTTTGGGTTGTAGAAGGTGTAGGTTGCCATCTGCCAAGTCTGCTATCTTGCCAGAAAACTGTGTCTCATAACCTATTTTATTTTCCTTCCAGGAGAGGAGTTTTATGGGATGATATTTGGGATATGGATTGGAGAAAAAGAACTTGGAGAGAAAGAGTGAAGGGGAAAGTGTTGTGTGATGAAAGCCATGGGAGTAAAGTTTCTTTTAAAGAGGAGGATAATTTGTCATAATCAGCTAGCTACTCCTATTGTTACACCCTCCTCAGTAGTTCAGCCATTGTTGGGAGAGGGGGAAAGGTCAACACAGGAAGTCTCAATAACTAGAATGTTCTCTCTGTTAAGTGACAAAACTAAAAAGTTTTTTGTTGTTGTTTTGCTTTGTTCCATAGAAGTGAAAGGGCGGTTCTTTTTAGCAGTGGGAGGAAAAGGTAGCTTTAATATTTCCTTTTAGAGGGCCAGAGAACATTTGTGATTATCTGACACAGACGTCATAAGTGTTCTAATGTTGCAGCTTAGAAGCATTCCTTAGCCCTTTTTCTTATTAAATGCCCTTTCCCTTCCCACAAAGCTTGCTTAAATGTAGCCAGTTTTTGCATATGAATAAGGTTGGAGAATTCAGAATTCCACCTGAGGTTATGGAGCCATGTTTAGGCAAGAGTTTTTAAAATTTCTTAAGAAAGGAAACATTGAAAAAACTGTAATAAAATAGTAACAACTGGTAAATCTACATGATAAGTATTAAGAGTTTCATAGTAATTATTCTCTCTACTTGTCTACTAATTGTTTATTAATCCACTTTGAGTTTTAATAATAATCTGCTATCTTTTTAGGTCCAAAGAAAATCTAGATGTGAATAATCTGTAAAAAAAGATTGATCCATAGGTAAAGAACTGAATCTTTCTCTCCCTCTCCTTAACAGTTCTTTTCACTTGCTAATTGGTGAGATACAGATTGAAGGATGAGTGAACTGGAACAGCTGAGGCAGGAAGCCGAACAACTGCGAAGTCAGATCCAGGTGAGTGGGAGTGAAGTTTTGTTTTGAAATGTTAACACTTATTCAGCATCCACGTTTATGCTATAAAGATCAGCAGGAGACTAATGCCCACAATGTGGCCACTGAGCTGGGCCTCACGTCCCCATTTCTTCATCCTCTTCGCCAGTCGCCCAGGCAGTACTTTTTTCTTTCCTTGACTCTTGGCCACTCAGAACTCACAGCAAGAAGGCACCATCCTCAGACTGTAAAAGGGGCAGACTCCCGCCTTGAGCCTGTGCAGCCCGCGTGACTCCCCAGCTTCATGATCTGCTGGCTCCAATTGCACTTTTGGGGTTGATTGTTCACTGGAACAACTCACAGAATTTATGAAGGATATACCCTGTTTATGACGGCATTATAACCAAAACATATATACAAATAAAGAGATAAATTGGGTGTGGTCTGAAATGATTCCTAACTTGGAGCTTCCATCTCCCAATGGCTGTGCTGCCCTCCCAAGACCAAGGAGGTTTTCCTGTCAGCCAGCAGGTTGGGTGGTCAGCCAGTCCTGCATGAACAGCCTCCTGATCCCGGCTGATCTACCTCCCAGGAGAATCTTCTGATCTCGGCTGCCCCTATCACCAGAACAAATTGTCATATGTGGCCAGGAAACCCCAGACCAAGGTATTCCAGTTGCTTGAAGGGTTATTTATTTCTCCAGATCCAAGGCCAGAGGCCACCTCCCATGGGACAGTACTAGGTCCTTCACCCCACAGCGATGTACAGAATTAGTCATTAACTTACCAGCCTATATGAAATAATTTATGAGGCTGGAAATAAATTCTTCCAGGTTTGTTCCTAACAATGATCTATGTACATTAATGATTTGTGCATCCCTAAGAAGTTAATTTGGAAGCAGGAGTGGCATCCACTTCCTAAACAACATGACTCTGGAAACTATGAACTTTGATAAATGTTGATAGTTATAGAAAAGTTTCAGGCCTTTTGTTCATAGGGTCCCTAGGAGTTGTGCTCGACTCGAAGACAATCAACAACAAGCAAGAAGTTAATATTATATATATATATATATATATAAAATTTAATATTATTAAATATACAGTTAATACTTTGAGCACACACACACATACACGTATATCCTGATGCACATACACATAAATGCATCCCTGCTAAAAGGCATAATTACCTTCATATTCATAAAGCTAGAATTACAGTTTGATTATTGGTGCAATATAAGGAGGCAGATATAACTACATTGTAATATATAGGTTATTAATCTCTAGTTGATGTCAAGACTACCGATGGTTATTTGCTTCCTCTGTTTCGTGTTGGTTTTACAAAAAGAAATCCTGCAACTATCAGATTCAGAAGACATCTTAGGCTCAGCACCAATAGGTCCGCCAAATCCGGAAGAAAATTATAAAAATCATGGTCCGAGAGGTGCAGACAAATGACTTGAAAGAGATGGTTAATAAATTGATTCCAGACAGCATTGGGGGAGACAGAAAAGGCTCGCCAGTCTATTGATCCTCTCCGTGATGTATTTGTTAGAAAAGTAAAAATGCTAAAGAAGCTCAAGTTTGAATTGGGCAAACTCATGGAGCTTCATGGTGAAGGGGGAAGCTCTGGAAAAGCTACTGGAGATGAGGCAGGTGATAAAGTTGAATGAGCTGATGGCTATGAACCACCAGTTCAAGAATCTGTTTAACATTTAGTCTTTTAATGACAGATGTTATTTTTTATGGAAAAAAAAATGAAAGTATCATTTGCTGTTGGGTTGACTCTGCCTCTTGGAAATTTGGCCATTTCAGAGCACTGTGTTCCTTAGGGTTTTCAAAGGTGGTTATTTTGGAAGTAGATATAGCTAGGACTTTTATTCCACAGTATCTCTGGGTGAACTAGATCCTTCTGCCTTTCAGGTGTTAGTTCAGCCAAACGTGGTACCTGTTAGTACCACCTACATACAGCCTCCAAAACAGCATTAGATTGCAAAAAAACATTAAACATTATTAGTGGCTTTCTTGGTTTCAAAAAGAGTGTGAAGACATGTCTGATAGATATTATTCTTACAGAATTAACTCAAAACAGTGAAGAACTTGAGAAACAAACACAAGTGCTATCTTCAGTAACCTGAAAGATGTATGGAATTTCAAACCATAATAGAATGAGAATAATAGAAGCCTTGTCAAGTACAACAGGGTGTGGGTAGATTCTGGAGAGGATGTCTGCAGGTATAAATCTTAGGCAAAGCAGGTAGCAGTCCCTTAGGGCATAGCATCAACAATTGCTTGTTTGGAACAATGGAAACAGATGCTTCCCTGGTCTTCATTAGCCCTGAGGGATAGCAAGGAAGACAGAGCTAAAAATAAAAGGATATAGAACTGTCATCTTCCCCGAAAGCTGCTTTTGATGAGCAAGGCAGAGGAGAGAGACTTGTGAGTAGCCTGGCAACTGACTGCTTCTAGCTTGAGGACATAAAGGTTGAAACAACTAACAAATGTAAATGAAGGACTTCAATCCAAAGCTTGGACAATACCCATTCTTGAAATTCTGCTGCAGCCTTCCCCAGTGAGAACATCCCTAGATGTTGCTGTTAGATGCCCTTGAGCTGTATGTAATTCATAGTGACCCTGTGAACACTATCTGAACCCTGCCCTGCCCTGTGCAATCCTCACTATCTCTGTTAAGCCTCAGCCTACGGTCACTGCCAATCTGCCTTGTTGAGGGTCTTCCTCTCTTTCTCTGACCCTCCACCTTTCTCGGCATGATGTCCTTTTTTCAAGAAATGGCCCCTCCTGGCAAAATGCCCAATGCGTATTAAACAGGTTTTTTTTCTTCTAAGGAGCACCCTGGTTATACATGCTCCAAGAGAGACTTGTTTGTTCTTGGCAGTTCCTAGGGTTTTCAGTACTTTTCTCTAACACCACAACTTAATGGCATCAAGTCTTCTGTCATCTTTATGCATCCTTATGAACCTTTAGTAAATATTTCTTTCAGAAGACTTAATGCAATTTATAAGTGAGGAACAATAAAAAAGGAACAAACATTATAGCTATATGTTGTTGTTGTTGTTATGAGCCATCGAGTCGTTTGCAAGTCATTGTGACCCTCTGAACTCTGCTCTATCCTGAGCCAATCTTATTGTCTCCAGCACACCTACCTCTATTACCCTAGTCACTGAGTCAATCTATCTCATCCAGAGTCTTCCTCTCTTTCACTATCACTCCACCCTCCCAAGCATGATGTCCCTCTTCAGAGATTGGTCCCACCTCGCAACATGCCCAGAGTACATCACTTAGAGCTTCAGAATCCTTGCCTCCAGGGGAAAATCTGGTTTCACTCTCTCAAAGACAAACCTTTTGGTTCTCATAGTAGTTCATGGTATAGTCGGTACTATTCTGGAGCACCATAGGGCCATAGGTGCGTCAAACACCATAATTGGCTACCCATCATGGACAGTGTTTGTTGGAGTTCCCAGATTAATTCAGGTTTGGAAGCAGGACTGGCATCTGCTTCCTAAGCTACATGCCTCTGGGAAGTCTAAAAACTTGGAGAAATGATGATAGTTCAAGAAAGGCTTGAGGTCTTTGTTCATCTTCTGTTTATATATCCTTTCCGCGTGTGTTCTCAGTCTATATGGTGGACAGATATTAAAGAAGTTAGCCTCTGTGTGGCATCAGAATAGGAAGAGGTTCAAGAAGCGGCGGAATGCTTCCAGATAGGCAATTTTGGGTGGTGAGAGCCAATGAGAATGCATGATTATGGAGAAATTTGGAATGACAGAGCCCATGGAGTTTGAGCCATGCTTTGGTTCTTAAATTCTGTAGGGCCCTCAGTCAAACATTCTTCTAGGTTGTATAGCCCTGGTCTGTCCACTTGCTGTACTGAGGTAACTTGTGGTTTCTGTGATGTTGAACACTGTGACACTGATGTGTCAAATGTGATAATGGTTACCCATGGTGGATAGTGTTTTTGGTGGAGCTCCCTGATTAAAACAAGCTTGGTAAGACTAGCAAAATTTAACAGAACAGCAAGCAACAAATGCTGGCGAGGTTGTGGAGAGACTGGAACCCTTATTCACTGTTGGTGGGAGTGTAAAATG